GGCCAGCACGACTAGACACGGAATATCGTTACCTTCCCACCGAGGTGGTACCTATTTATCTACTCGCATTTTTGCATTTTGCATGCTTTCGAACCGCTAGGTTGGCAGGAGCTTGGTTAAGCGACGGGGGCTCACTCCGTCGCATGGATTCGATCTTACAACTGCAGGTCTTCTGACCTTGTTATTTGTTTGATCCTTTTTCTATTTGTATTACTCACCATTGTTAGCTTTAAACACTGTCTTTTACTGATGTAAACTGACTTGGGTCCTTTTTAAGGATAAAGATGGGGTAAAAATATGTTAAATAAATTAAATAAATGTGTTTCACCTAGGTTATCAAAACGGGATTCAGGGAAATTCATGTCATCAACAGCCTACGGTACTTCTGTCAAAATTCCTCTTTCCCATATTATAGTACGTACGTGATTGAGACATAAAATGTTTGAGCAAGTCCTTTCTCGCTCTTTGCAATTTGTCCAGCAAATTTGTCTAACCTCACCTTCCACCTTCTGGATTCAAAACGTAGAAAGAAAAATCTCTGATTTGCCTTGAATTCCTGACTTCTTTGTCTTGTTGACGGAGCACATTTAGAAGTCAGCTCCTTTGTTTCAGGGGTATTGAAAAGCTTTAATGAATAAATTATTGGCCACTGAGATGACCTTTTCTGCTAGACTTAGGTGAACAGAGCAGATGGTTGGATTTGGGTGCTGTGTGTGGTTGGGTGATTGTGGGTGTTTTGTTATTTGCACTCCATCCCTTGCAGCTCCCTTCATATCATCAGTAAAAATGTTTCTTCTCAAAATAAAGCGGAGCAGCCTTCCTGTTCCATAGGACAAGAATGTAGCAGCTGGTTAGGGTCCTCTTGCATTAGTTTTCCTGATCAAATTTCTACATCAGGCTCTGCGCGAATCCTCCAATTTGATCTGGACACCAGTTCGGGACTCTGGAATGTTTCCCTCTCTGGTCCGGAGTGGGTTTTGCCTCTTCCAGTTTGATCTGTGCCCTGCATCCATGTTGATTTGTAAGCCTCCCATTGACCTGCATTGGTTAAAACAAATAAATACATAAAATAAAAAATAGGTATTGGGTGTACAGGAAATGTACAGGAAATCTGGAGGCATGAGAGATTCTACAGTGGGGAATAAACCAGCCAAATTCTAGATAGCTAGCTTCAGAATATGAAGCAGCTTGAAATGGAGGGGAGGGGCTTCCAAAAAAGGGGGTGATTGGGGGAGGGGACTGAAATAATATGGGACTCATTTGGTTCAATGTGTGCTCCAGGCACAAATTCATTTATATATTTGCTTCATTCCATCATGGAACCACTTGGAACCAAACATCAGACAGGCGAGTCCAAATCCATCCGATTTGGTTATCCATCTGGGAGTTGTTTGAAACTGGTGTGCAGCCTCTGTTCTGTGTCTCATAGAATTGTAGAGCTGGAAGGAACTCTAAAAGTCAAGGACTCCAACCCCTTCTAAAGCAGGAGATTCACAGCTAGAGCATCCATGAAATTTAGCCATCTAATCTCTGCTTCAAAAAAATCTGCTGTGAAGCAGGGGCCAACTTCTTCCAAGGCAGGCCATTCTATTGTGAAACCATTCCTGACACTTATGCCATTCTTCCTAATGTTTAGGCAACACCTCCTTCCTTGTGATTTCAGTCCATTAATTCAGGTGTACCTCTAAATGTATCTCAAATGTTCCCCATAGAGCTTCATTTCTAGAACTTTATTCATTCTAATCGACCAGCTCTGGGCTTCTTCCAGCTTGTTGACAACCTTTGTAAAATGTAATGCCCAAAACCACACACAGTATTACAGATGAGGTGCAGCCAAAACAGAATAGAGTAGAACTGTTACTTATCTTGCAGTATTTTAAAGAATCCTGGGATTTGAGGTTGGGTGAGGTCCTTCCCTCTTCTGTGCTCGAAAGCTCTACTGCATTCCCCCACGCAATAGCGCTGTAGCGCTCTAGCAAATATGTTTTTAAAGACTTCCTCAAATCCCAGCATTTCGTAAGAAGGAGCCATGACAGTTTAAGTGGTATCAGACCTCGGTGTTTAGTGTACACACACTGTTGCAAATATAAATTCCTACGTCTCTCACAGTATAAATTATGCACAGGAGCTGTGTATATAAGTGTGTGAAAGAGGGAGAGAGGGGGCGATTTAGAACAAATAATTTATGGTGTTTTTCAAAGATTTTAATTTCAGCGTGCACCAAAGAGGTTGGGACTGGAGGGGAGAAAGAATCTCGAGTATTTTGACATCTGTGCCTTTGCACAGACTCTGTGAGATTTGTCTGTTGTCCTGCCAAGATCTTTTCTTGTGTTTAAACAGACTCAAAATGACTTAATCCCTTTTAGTTTTGTTTTTAAAATAAATCCCCTTTCCTCCCCAATTAATGCCAGGGAGTGAATGGTGACTACAGGGGAGCAAGTGCTTTGTTAATTTATAACTTTGCTCTTTCCAAGGTGGGGGTGGGGGTGGGATTTATGTTTGTCAAGTTAATGCTGGAGTTGCACTGACGTTCTCTGAGTTCATGTACTCCTCTGCATCAAGAAATCACCATGGAGTTTGAAGGTCAATATGTTCTGCTCCCTCCAGAACTGAGCAGCTCCTCCACACTGAAGCATTTCTGAGAAACATAACAGCGTGATTATATATGTAACACAGCAAACTCTGAGGAGGACAGCCATTCTTCTTTAAGAAAAGCAAAACAGAGAAGCAGTTAGGGGTCCCTCCCCGTATAATGACTCAGAAAGCAAGGAAATTGATGCTGATCCATAAGAAAGGTGCCAGAATTCAAATCCAGGTCATAACTTCACCCAGGGCCGGCCCACAGTAAGGCTACTGCTTCAGGTGGAGGGACGTGGTGGCGCTGTGGGCTAAACCGCAGGAGCCTGTGCTGCGGGGTCAGAAGACCAAGCAGTCGTAAGATCGAATCCACGCCACGGAGTGAGCGCCCGTCGCTTGTCCCATCTCCCGCCAACCTAGCGGTTCGAAAGCATGCAAATGCAAGTAGATAAATAGGGACCACCTCGGTGGGAAGGTAACAGTGTTCCGTGTCTAAGTCACAGTGGCCATGTGACCACGGAAGATTGTCTTCAGACAAAACGCTGGCTCTATGGCTTGGAAACGGGGATGAGCACGCCCCCTAGAGTCGAACACAACTGGACAAAAATTGTCAAGGGGAACCTTTACCTTTACTGCTTCGGTACAAGATGCTGGAGGGCAGCTATGGCAGAAACTCATTCATTCCCCTCTGTTGAAGGTCAGAGGTTGCCTGCTAGGCCACCTGTCCTGTATCTCCTGCACTGGACCAGCTCCCTTTTAATGTGGGTTCCTGTTACCAGCATGGAAGTAATCTCCAACCATCAGTCCAGTTCACTCCTGTTTGTGAGATAGTTGTCAGGTCTGCATCCCTAAGACTTAGAGGCATACCCTTGTGACGTCATGGGGGTATACATTTGCATTGGACAAATCCTTTAGCAACAATTGCAAAATGAGGTATGTGCATGTGATGGAAAGATGCTGTAGAGACTCCGTGGTGAATTTTAAAACTGCTACGGGGATTCCAGTAGCAGCAGCTCCGGAACACGCAAGATAAAAACGCAAGGATGGTTCTCAACTTACCTAAATGGCACGTCCTAAATCCATGAGAATCAGATTTCTCATGGATTTAGGACACCCATGATGTCCTAAAAGAGAGGATTAGCAGATTGGAAGCATCCCATTCGTTGAGATTTCAGACCCAAAGACTGAAATAAAGAAACAGACTCCAAAACCATAAATCTGGCAACCGTAAGTGGTGGAAGGCATTGAAGGATGCCGTCTTCTGCAAAGGAAAGAAAGAAGAAGAAGATCTGTGTGTGGCCCAGGGTTCTGCGGAAGGTTTCCACTCGTCTTCCAGAGGATCATGAGTTCAAGTCATCCACTAGCTAGCAGTCTCAATGGTAGCTGATGGATCTGGCTGGGCTGGGATATATAAAATACCATCTCTGCCATAGTAATTTATGACCTCCTTTAGCAGCTCTGTTGCCTATGCCAGTGGTTCCCAACCTTGGCTAACGCACGTGTTCTTGGACTGCAACTCCCAGAAACCCCAGCCCGCACATCTGGTGACACCTGGTTTACCCAAGGTTGAGAACCACTGGCATATGCCATAACCAAGAGAAGCTAGAGTAATAGATACATGAGGGTGTTTTTTTTCTGTAGCTGCATCTCAGTGGAACCCGATTCGGAGGTCATGAGGGCTCTGTTCCTTCTCAATCCTAGACAGGTAGTTAAAACTGCAGTATTTCACCAGAACGTCAATGGAGTTTAATATTGTTGGTGTGTGTTATAAATGAAGTTTTGTATTCTCAAAGGCTTTCACAGCTGGGATCTGATGGTTGCTGTGGGTTTTTCCCGGGCTCTTGGTCAACGAACTCTACCCAGCCACAAGGACTAGTGATTATTGCACACAAAGACCAGCTAATGACACCTATCAATCACAGTAACAGATCATCTCTCCCCCTTATCACAACAATACATCCACAACAAAAACACGCTGATCACCATAATCACCCAATCTCTTGTAAAGGACAAAAGCTGTTCACACACCTATAAATACTCAACTATCCAACAAACTGCAGCAGAGCACAGAAAGGGTTCTGACTCATGTCCTCTGAAGATGCCGGCCACAGAGACTGGTGAAACGTTAGGAAGAACAACCTTCAGACCACGGCCAAAGAGCCTAAAAAACCCATAGCAACCAAATGAAGTTTTCTTGCTCTTCTGATTTTTTTTGGTTATGTATACTTTATATTATTGCTTTGCACTTTGAGCCCCCAATATCTGAAAAGTGACTTGGAAATAGATAAATAGACAGACACTGATGACAAACTAGATTCAGTATGAAGGGGGAGTGCAAGATTGGCTGGATTTAAGTACATACTTCTATTTAAAGAAACTAATAAGTCTACCATCATCCTTTTTTCTTGTCGTTTTTGTTTCAGGTATACTATTCTTGCGGCGCACAATTCAAATCCATGGAACGAGGTCTTATTTTATCACCTGGTTTCCCCAACAACTATTCATCAGGCATCCATTGCATTTGGGAATTCTTTATCCCCGCTAGAACGTACTTAATGTTGGAAATCTTTGACTTTGATGTGTTTGAAAGCATGAGTGCGAATCCTGATGCCTGGGACGGGTTTCTTTCCCTTCCTGAAAATAACAACAAAGAATTTCTCCCCAGTGAGGAAAACATTGACTTTCCTACCCTATTTCCTACAGTCAGTTCTGCTCTCCAAGAGTCTAACTCAACTGGTTTTTATAACCTTCACGATGGACTTCCAGAGGCTGCTTCTCAAAAACTTGAAGCGAAACCATTCCAGCAGATAAAAGAAGCCAAAGAGTTGGGCAGCGCTAAACCAAGTAAATTCTTGGCACCCACCAACGACACCCTACCGAGAGAAACAGGTGGCGGAGTGCAAGAGGAACACAAAAACCCAAAGGATAAAACACTGTTTTCTCACCTCACCGATAAAGGTGAGAGGGACAATTCTGAGGGCTATAATCAACATCCAGGAGAGGACGTGGCGATTCCGACCACGGTGTCGCCAACGGACTCCTCTTCCACCTCAGGGCCCTCGGCTGAAATTTGCCCTCACGACGTGTTGTACGTCTCGGACCTCTTTGCTTTTTCTTCCCGTTTCTGTGGGACGAAATCGCCGCTGAACAAGAACATGTCCTTCGGGTCTTCCCTCAAGATGGTCGAGGTCATTGTGGAGTTGATCACAACCACGGACCGGGGGCGGGGCTTTGCGATGCTTTTCGAGTACAAGAACGATACCGAGCCGGTGGACGTGAGTGACTCAAAAGAGGGGAAAGAGAATATTATGATGCTGGTCATCATAACGGGAATACTCTTCTTTGCTCTGGTCCTCTTGTCCTCACTCTGTATAGCTTGCAGGTAAGTGCTGCCACGATGGACTCCTGGTTGCCTTTCGCTTTTCCATGTTACAATTCCCATGTCTTGGTCCCAAGCTATTTTCCTGCTAAAAAAGGCCAGCCAATGAGAATATTACTGGACCCTGTTTAATTGACTGACCAATTAAATTAATGCATTCATAACACTGTGATTGACTAGAAAAGTGCCTTGACTCAATAACTGTGTGCCCTCAAGGCAATTTTGATGTATGGCGTCCTTCTTCAGAGTTTTCCCAGTACAGATTATTCAGAAGTGCTTTACCCTTCCCTTCCTCAAGGGGGCACCCTGGGACTGTGCAGCTTGCCCAGGGCTACCCAGGCTGGCTGTTCTCTCTGTAGGCACAATGGGGGATTAAATTCCAAAACTCTGACTCCGCAGCCAGATACCTAAACCACAGAGCTGTCCAGCCTTGACTTACTGAACACCCCATACTGTATATAAACAACTATTAGCTACTTATAAAAAAAAATGTAGGTGGCATGAGCTTGGAGGCATTCTCTCTGTAAACTGAAGCATTCCAGAAGTGTTTTGCACCCATTGGAAACATGTGCATTTTATTTGGAGAACTTTTCAAAAGTGCATGGTGTCACAGTCCAAGAAATCCCAGGCAGCTTCTCCCCAGGGGCAAGGGGCACCAGGACCCAGTCCACCAGGCAGGGTCCAAAGGGGCTTAGTTGGTTGTGACCAAGCAGAGGCAGGAACACAAGGTTGGGAAGACAAAACTGGAACAAGGCACCGAGATGCAGGAGGTCAGCAGAAATAAGCAGAGATCAAGGCAAGAACAGGCGCAGATGCCAGAATACTGGGACTCAGGAGCAGCCAGACAGCAAACACAGCGGAAAACCTTTATTACTAAGGCCAGGTCCAGGAGGGAGAACCACTCCTTAAATAGGCCTTCCCTCCAGGTTTCCAGGTGAGCCTCATGAGTAGCCCAGCAGCTGCTACCCAGGCCAGGGCCTGATCCTGCAAACATCCGGCCAGTCCTGGGTCAGGCTGGCCCCGATCCTGCAGCTACCAGGGCGGTACAGGTCAGATCCTGACACACGGTTTTGGAACCTTTCTCCAGCTACGGGAAGGTGCTGAACAGCAAACTATGTAGAGTTCAGAGACACACCAGGAGGAGAAGGCTTGAGATGTGGAATCATGGAGTGACATTGGGTGGTTCTCATATAGTCAAGTATTTATTTATT